GGACACTGCCACACTGCTTTGCACTTGCTGTCCCCTCTGTCTTAACACTCTCTACTCCTTTCTTCTTGTCCCCTTCAATAATTCTCTTTAGTTGACCCACTATCTATTTTACTCATTAAAGTATTTGTTTTTTCCTGCTTCTCCCCAGGAGAATGTGAACTCCAAGAGGCAGAGATTTTTGCTTCCTTTGTTCACTGCTGACTCTCTTAGTCCAGATTAGAAGGCACTGAAACATTTATGGAATGAACGAATGTGCAGTCTCTCTTGCTCATCAATAAGCTTTGGAAAACGGAAGAACTATTGTACATGTAGCACTAAGCCAAGTACCACGGCTTTTAATTCTGGAAGTAAAATAAATTTCTCTTTTGAGATTGTTGGTAGGAACATATTTCTATAGTAATTACAATTTTTATAACAATATATTTCATCAACATTTATTTAAAAGTAAGTTATTTCTGTGGTTGGATGGTGGATTGGCTATAACAGTGGTAATGAAGCTAAGACCTGCTTAATCCATTGGTCAGACTTCTCAGTGGTACGCTTAGATTGCTTGCTTTTGCTCATTTTTGCCATTACCCTAGAATATGAAATGTCTTTTTATTCACTGTGTAGCACTTAGGACATAGTAGTCACTCAATAAACATTTCCTGAATGAATTAAAAGAAAAGGTAGTTTCCCTGAAGGCAGGAATTCAGTTAAAAATATTTGGTAATCAATATATATTAATTAAATCGATGAAGATAAAGATCAATAAATGAAGGTCACTGAATAACAGTAACTAACATATACATCACTTTGTATATGAGGTTGGATTATTCCATTATGTGAGAAAAAGGGAACTATAGAACCATGAAAATGTTAGTAATTTGAAAATTAGAGATTTAACTCTATGTTCATACATGAAATAACATCAATTTCTATTTCTCAGTTCTTCCTGGTAAAGAAACGCAATGTCATCAGACACTGAGACCATCTGTGTGCTGAAGTGGCACTTCTTCTAAGTAAAAGTATAGAATGAGTAGGATGAGGAATTCTAGAATCTGTAAAAGATGAATGTGACTATAAGACAGTATTTATTAGTTACAAAATGAGTTAATAGTAGTGATACTAAATTCAGGCTGACTTCCAAAAATGTGCCTGCCATTCTTTCACTCAATTGCTTATTTATGTAATCACTGAGTACACATTGCGTGTCTATAAAGTCCTGGCACCATTTTAACAAATAGTCATGTATGTACCAGCCAGCCACTTCTGCGACTTGCCAGAAGCTAATTATTAAGTATATGCCTAATTTGGTCCTCCCTGATGAACACCACTGATGTTTGCTAGATAAACAATTATTGAATATAAACCAAATTGTTCCAGGCAGAAGAGATGTTTACTATAAAGGCAACTGGCCATTACTACAATTGAGTTATTGCCATGGGAACAAATAAGAGTTAGAGAAATTGTATGAGATGAAAACAAAGGGAAAAGTAAATCATTATTTAAATAAGTACAATATATCTGAGGTGAAAGATCAAGAAACACAGGTAATGTGCTGATGATGCCAGCAGCAAGTGGGGAAAAATATCAAAGAATGGGGGATAAAATGAAAGCACAAAAAAAGTGTAGAGAACTCACTTCATCATAATAGAGCTATCATTAAGTCTGAAAACGACATGAGGCTGTCCCCAGTCAGTACCATAATTTAGAACTACTTCAGTTGTTATTCTTTTTCTAAGCATTTGTTTTTGGGAACGGGACTGGTGCCAGTGCTCACTGATTTCCTTTGGAAGACGCTGTTTAACCTCAACAGGAATTAGGCTCACACATATTCCTCAGTTATGCAAAGAGTCACTGGGAAGACCCAATTAATTTATGACTAAATATCTAACTTATTTCTACAATGAGAACGTACCTTGTGAATTGCCATCCAAGGCACTGTTCCCTGTAGCCTGCCCTAATCCCAGCTCTGGGTATAAACATGATTCATTCTTGTCCTTAGGGTGGTCCAAGTGGTTTGCTACTTCTAGTTCATCAATGTTATCTCTGATATTTATGCTGTGATAACAGTCTCTATATGCTGAAGGGGAGTCACTTGATGCAGTCATAGCTACTGCACCTTGAAACCACTACCCTGCCATGTGCTGAGCTCTTCTCTGGGTGACGTGTCCCTTCAATATTCAATTTTAAGTGTCATATGGGATGCCTAGATCAGGACTCAGTGCAGCCTCTATAAAGAAGTAGATCCTCCTGCCTTGTTCCATCAGAAATAGGAAACGGAGACATTCTAGGATGAAGGAAAGAAATCACGGCCTGCAGTGGAACTAAGAGCTGACAAACCCTGTCTGAACTCAGGAAGTTGAAGTCCTCATCCAGCAATTTGCACTGAGGAAATGGAAGAAGGATTTTAAAATTTCAAGCACAGCCACATGAATATTGGTTCCTGAGAATAAATATGGCCATTTTGCATACAGGAAACAAAAATAGAGAGCCTATTTTGGCAAAGCCAACTCTAGTGGTCTAATGGTTAATATTCGGTGCTGTCACCACCACGGCCAAGGTTTGTTTCCTGGTCAGGGAACCACACCACCCCTCTGTAGGTTGTCATCCTGTGGTGGCTACATGTTGCTGTGATGCTGAATGCTATGCCACCAGGATTTCAAACACCAGCAGGGTCAGCCATGGTAGGCAGGTTTCAGCGAAGCTTCCAGACTAACACAAACTAGGAAGAAGGACCTGGCCACCCGCTTTCAAAATAATTGGCCATGAAACCCCTGTGAATAGCAGTGGAGCATCGTCTGATACAGCACGAGAAGGTGAGAGGGTGGCATGAAAAGACCAGGCAGGGTTCCGCTCCCTGTACATAGGGTCACTCGGAGTGGCAATCCACACGATGGCACTAAAACAACAAATTTTGGCAATGGCTCTGTGTGATTAATCATAATTGGTTGGAGAAAATAAATGGAGATTGGCCTTGAATAGTTCAGTAACTTTACTGAATCCTCAACCAATATTCAGGAAAAAAAATCAGAACATAGGAAAACCACAAAAGCTATGAATCCAACTTTTCTATCCTATTCTCACTTAATTAAAGCAGCAACTTCACCCACGTCATCCAGGTGTTGAACTATCATATCAGCCAAGTACTACGGACCAAGCCCTTTCTTGAATAATCCAGCCTGGTGTTCTGTGAGTTCTGAGAATTCTAAAGACTTCAAAGTTGATGATTTTACAGTATCAAAGGTCATTCAGTTTCCTTCTGTGATGTGTTTCATATTTTCTTTTCATATTAAGCAAATCCCATAGCCGTTATGCTGAATTGTCAGTTTAGTTCCTCTTCAGCTCGATTTCTATAAAATGAATATTTGTTCTTATAAACGAGTTAAGTAACTTTTCGTGTCTTTTCCTATGGAGTATTAGCCCTCCAAACGTTTCTATATCAAGCTAAATAAACTTTATTTCCTTTGTCTTTCCTTATTAATTTAATACAGCAACCATCTTCCAGAATTTGAGAGAAACACATTTCCAGTGACATGAATTTCTACTGTAAATATAAATAAGTGTACATATTCTTGAGAGACAAATTAGAGAAAATTAGATCAAATTAAACCTCTTATGAAATTAAGGAAGTCTCAATTTACAGTCTTGCATCCTAAAATGCTTCCACTTATGATTTTAAAAAGAGGGAAGAGGGCAGTACAGTGGGGTTCATTCCATCCCCTAAAAAGATATGCTCGAGTCCTAACCCCTAATATCTACGAATAATCTTATATGAAAATAAGGTCTTTGCAGATCAAGGTAAGATGGAGTCATAATGCATTAAGATAGGCCCTAAATCCAATGACTAGTGTCTTTATAAAAGAAAACAGAGGACTACTTGGACACAGAGACTCAGGGGAGAAGGTCATGTGATGACAGAGGCAGAGACTGGAGTGGCACTCCTATAACCAAGAAACATCAAGGATGGCAGGGGGTCCCGAGAAGGAAGCCAAGGAAGGATTCTCCCATAGGACCACCAGAGAGTCATCCTCTGCCAATGCCTCAGTTTCAGGATTCTGCCTCTATAACTGTGAGATAACGAATTTGTCTTGTACTCAGCCTTAAAGTACATGGTAATTTGTTATGGCAGGCACAGGACACTAAGACAGGCAGCAGGGCCCATGGAGAAAAGACAGACCTTGTACAATGATCTTGGGTTCAAATCTATAGTTTGTTTTTTGGCCTATGGCAAATTGCTTAACATCTTTGAGCACCAGTTTGCTTGTGCGTAAAATCGTGAGGTCTTATGTGAAATAGTGTATGTGAAAACACAGGCACATACTAGAGCATCATTAAGGAACTGGATTATTTTTATTAATAAAGGAAAAAAAGCAAATCTTTCATTCTTACTCTTATGTTCCAGTATGTTTTCTAAAAAATCCTGCATAATTTCTTAAAATCTTTGTTAGAAATAACCTCACCAGAAAAGAAAATCTCAATTCCAAAATAATTAAAAACAGTGTGAAGCTCAACATGAGGGTCTAAGCTATAACCGAAAACAAGAGCACAAATAACTCCAATGACTTTCATATTTAAAGTTTTCATTTTCATGCACACAATTCTGTAGACATTTCTTTACCAGATGTAAACAAAAGAAGGAGATTCAGTATAAGCCATATCTCCTCATGATTGCACACTTTGTTGACTAAAAATTAAGAGAATGAAGTGAAAGAAACAACAATTATCTAACCAATTTAGTTAGGACTGACTTGCAGAGTATTGAGGTTTACAATTTCTAAGAAAAAGGCAAGAGGAGTAGAGCTTGGTATGACATCTACAGAATTTGTTTTATGAACTATGTGACCCACAACCTCAGTCTCTCATTATCTTGTAATTCCAGGAGCATAAGTGATGACATATATACACACTTTTTTTAACCAAAGCATTACATATTGTGAAATATCATTAATTAAATATGTAGCCTTTTATACGCCACGAAATCTTCAAATGGTAGTAAACTGAATTGTTTTACTTACTAATACAAGCAGCAGGACAATGTCAGGGTTATCACACGCACAAGCAATGTGCATTGGTGTCCAAAAGTCTTCATCCTGGTGGTTGACATTGACCCCTCTGTCAATCAAGATCTCTGCAATGAAGGCATTATCATACCGAGCACACTGGGGAAAAAAACCAAAGGAAATAAATTATTATAACAAACTAGGATAAAGTTTTCCAAATGTCCATGGATAGAAAACTTCAATGGCAATTTAGGAAGTTGAGAGGCAGAGCTAAACTAGGAAAGGATGCATTCATGTTCTCCAACTAGCCTACAAGTAAAGGGTCATATGGAAGCGTCTTCTTCATTTATTCTTGAACCATTTACCAGGATTACCTTTCTAAAGTACAGATTTGATCCTATGATGCTATAGCTTTAAAACATGCATAGTTTGTCATTGACAAAAGAATAAAGTTTCATGATTTTATTGCATCGAACAGACGAGACCCTTCAGAGTCTCTGCAAATTCTTCCATCATCATTCTCATATGTAGCCTTCATACTGGTTGCATAAAACAACGAGGCCTTCCACAACATGCCATCTTGTCAAAGTTAACTGTTGTGATTAAAGAATCTGCTAACACAAGTTTTAATGATTGCATAACATATTTTGTAGATATTTCATAATCTACAAAATCAGACTCTCCAGGAACTTATTTTGTTTTAATTTTTTATTTACTATTTATAGTTAAAACTCATAAAAATAGTATACGTATAAGTCAGAACTGGTTCCACAGGTGTATGATTTACACAGTTGTGCTTAGATGGGTCTTGCACTTGGTTTAATGCTCTGCTGTTGCTATCTTGAGTTTTTAATATTTTGAAGCATCCTACATATTCATTTTGCCCTGGGCCTTACAAATTTTCCAGTCCTTGTATAAGTCTTTTTAACATTTATATCTATAGGATACATTAATGTTAAATGCAATTAGTAAAATTAGTGAAAAATAAATAAATAAATAAAGACCTATTATAGGTCAAATGCCTATCAGTGAAATTTCTGGGTTGAAAAATGTATGCTTTTTATAGGATTTGGATACGTAGAACAGATTTCCCTCTCAAAAAGAAGCACCAAAGAATACTACCACCAGAACTACTGCCATATCAATTTATTTATCCACCTACTCATTGGATAGCATAATTAAAAACAAATCATTGGAGGACTTCCACTTTTGAGTAACAGGGATAAGATTTACATTCTTGCCTGAGTCAACTGAAACAAAAACAAAAACACACAAACAGAATATGACCTCTGTGAGGTGGGGAAAAAACAAGCAGCCCTATTGTTCTGTGGCTCCAGCTTACTGCCTTCAGGGAGTTCCCAAGCTGCAGCTCAGAAAGGAGAACCGCAGCCAAACAGGGCCATTCAAGAGGAGACTGAACTGGAGCTCCAGAGAAACCAAGTTGGGTAGAATGCACAGGGTGGAGCGGCAGAGAGAACAGAGCTGCAGAGAGAGAATTCAAAGATCTGCAGAAGGTCTCCCTCAAGTACTCAGCTGAGTCATGATTGGCACATACATTCTAGGAAACCACGTAAGTTCAGTGAAAGAACCCCCTGAAAAAGAAGAGAACTCAGAGCTCATAAATTGCCAGAAATAGTGCCGAGTCCCCCCAGTCAGATTTAGAAAGCTCATAATTGATGGGGCATTGGGTAGAGCACCAGACATGGTTTGCTTCAATGGTGGGGAAATATTAGCCCTAAACTAGACTCTGCTCTGTTGCCACCTAAAAAATATTAAATTCAAGTTCTGAAAGGATCAAACTGTTTCCAAATAACTGCCCTCAAAATAGAGCTCAAGATTATGTATAGAACTACGAAAATATTCAGTACCCAACAAGGCAAAATTTACTATGTCTAACAGCCAAGAAAAAATTACTAGACATACAAAAAATCAGAAAAATAGTAACCTCAATGAAGAGAAAAAGTTATCAATAGAAACCAACTCAGAAGTGATACACCTGTTAAAATTCTTATTATAACTATATTTTCATGTGTTCAAAGAGATGGGGGAACTGTTAAACATGGTAAGCAGAGACACGGAAGGGCTCAAATTTAACTTCTGGAGATGAGACCTACAGTGGCTGAGATGAAAAATATGCTACTGGATTGGATTAACAACAGACCAGATATTGTAGAAGACAAGATCAGTGAACTTGAAGACAGTGATATAAATTACATAAAATGAAACAGAGAGAAAAATGACTTTAAATAAATGAACAGAGCGTCAGTGAACTGCAGGAACACTTCAGACAGACTGATAACCAAACAGATGATAGCACGGAAATGGGAACCACATGAATAAATGTATGTTTTCTTATTCATTTTATTATCTTTAAAATTAGCAACTAGAAGACAACACAATTTTAAAAATTAGGCAAAAGATTTGACCTGATATTTCACTAAAAAAAAGATGTATGAATTGTGGCTCGCAATCACAATATAGTCATTGAAGGAGATTCATATCTTTCTCCATTACCTGATAGTCTCATGAATGTACAATAAATACAATGCAAAATCATGGTGTGAGTTCCTTATGGAGGAACATGTGAGCAGGCTTTAGTGTCAGGATGCAAAGAAGCATTTAGGCAACGGCTAACATGAAATTTGAGGGATTAGTTTCAGTTTTGAACTAAAATCTTTGTGTATCTGATGTTCCACATCAGTGCAATAATAACAAAGGGTCACTACCATTGGGGCCCGAAGACATGGACTGTGACCCCACCCACAGTCATTGGGTATAATGACTGATAAGGTAAGAACCAGAGTATCAAAGCTCAATAAATCTGTTTTAGAATTTGTGGCCTGGATCTAATTTGTTTTAGGAAATTCATATGCAAGTAATTCCTATTCCACTCTCTTTATCTTTTTGATAGCTCACTGCATAATCAGCAAGGATGTGACCTCCCCTTCTGTGCCTGTCAAGATATCCTCAACCTGCGCCTCAGGAATCCACATTTACAATTCAAAGATACTAGGGTTTGGCTTTTCAGTGTCTTTTACCAAACAAGAGTTAATTAGATACCAATGCTGAAAGTGATATCAGTCCCTCTCAAGTGATGTAAGTTTTAGATTCACATTTCAGAGGGTTATGAATAATAATTTGACAGCAATAAATACCTTCTAATCACACTTGTCTGAAAAGATTACGATGGCTGAACATTCCTGTTACAATATTCTTACAATATCATTGTTAGATAGTAAACCTAATTTTCCCAGGAAGTATTTGCTTCAAGATGGCAAATCTGTCTCCCAATTCAAGTTGTTCTTTACCACTTTAGCCAATTTCTGGTGACAGTTTATAGCACCATAAAAATGGCTGAACTCCCACCTTATCACCCTCAACAGAACTCTGACCCCACCAGTTATCTCCGCCTGGAGCTTAGAGCCAAGTCTCCCAGCTCTTCCTGTCACCATTGTTTACCTCTCAAAGGGCCAAGCAGGACTAGCTACATAATTTGTGGGAGCCAGTACAAAATGAAAACATGGGGCCTCTTATCAAAAAAATTATTAAGAATTTCAAGATGGTGACAGCAGAGCATGAAGCCAAGCATGGGCCGTTCTAAGTACAAGGCCCTGTGTGACTGCACGGGCCACATGCCCACGAAGCCTTCCCTGAACCACCAAGCCACTTACTCCACCTGTCTTCAGGGTTTCCTCATGTCCACACATTACTATTCCTTCTACTGAACCTCTGGAACCCAATCCATTTCAGATAAACTCTCCTCATCTGGAAATGTCCAGAGAACCTAAATGGAAATCTCTCTCTCTGGAAACACCATCTCTCCTACAGCCCTCTCCAGTGTAGATAACAAATTCTCCCATAGGGTCCTGAAAAGGTATGAGCATTTTCTGAGTTTGTTGTTGATTCTTCTAGAGTCAGTGCATATTCATCTTAACGTCCTTTTTTCCAAGATTCACCCTACCTTATGTACTACTCTCTTCTCCCAACCTGGTCACTCTCCTCTTTCATCAAAGGCTTAGGGACCATGATCACAGTCTTTGCTCCAATCCTAGCACTGTCAACAGATGAGGCATCATCAACATTGGGGTTACTCACCCTACATGAGAGCTTAAAATGTCTTCCTTGCAGTACTCCAGTAACCTTAGCCTCCAGTTTCCTTTAGTCACCCACTCCTGTTGGCTCACCATCACCAAGATTAGCTCCACTCTGAAATACTAAATTCTAATATCCCAATCTATGACCAAAATGTTCCATTCTGCCTTCTTAAAACATACTTAGAGAGCAACATGACGAATAGCTCCTTCCTAAAAGATGTTCACGGAAGTGACTAGGATTAGAAAGTGACAACTGACACTTCAAACACTAATTCAGCAGTTCACAGCTCCTCTGGCCATGCATTCTTTCACTCATTTTTCATTGTTCTTAAACAAAGGTAATATTTCTCAATGTACAAACTCAATACCATGTGTATTATTGATTCAGCTGAAAAGACTCTGAAAACCATAGAAACTAGACAACAAAGACAATTTTAAACTTAGAATGTGTTGTCTTTTCCCTATGTCTTGTTATAAGAGGTATTTTATGTTTTTTTAGTTCTTCTCTTTGGCTAATGAGTATGCCCTGAACAATACAGAAATCTCTCTCAGAAAATCAAAACTTGATACGAACATTAAGTTCACACATCAAATTTCATGGTTCATACATGAAAGTTATCTTTTGCCAGTTTTCTTTTTAAACTAGGGTCAGATCTGTACCACGAGTTTTCTCAATATCTATATATGTTCAGTGCAAATTCCCTTTCCTCTTCTCTGTACTGATTACAAAGCATTAGGGCAGAGGAGACCAGCAAGGAGTTACCAGAACAGCATCCAGTTTGATCCGGATATCATTTATTGAATGGCTATCATGTGCCAAGCACAGTTCTACTAATAAACCACCCAAAAAAGATCTCTGAATTCTCTGGGAGCTGTGGGGAGGGGAAGTAATATGATTTGTACAGTCCATTTGGATTAGCCATCATCCATTTTCTTGTCCCGTGTTTACAGGTTCTCAGTGGTTAAAAAAACTTGTCTACAATCAGAGACAGACAGAGAGACAGAGAGACAGAAACAGAGAGAGATAGACACAGAGAAAGAGAGACAAAGAAGGAGAGGGAGAGA